CCTCATGCCTCACCTTGACCCTGCCCCCTCAGACGGCGCTCGGCTCTGCCGTCTACCTGTGGACGCCTGGCACAAGTCGCGTGCAGACGTTGTGCGACCTGCAGGGAGAACAAGGCGGCGACATCTGCTCGATCCGCTGGTCCCGTCAAGGGAATACTCTCGCCATTGGTGATCGCAACGGCAATGTGCACATTTATGACGCTGCCAAACTGCAGCGCATTCACACCTTCAAGCAGTTGCACACCGAACGAGTCTGTGCCTTGGCGTGGAATTCCCACCAGCTGGCAACCGGAGGTCGCGATCGCACGGTTCGACTGCTTGATATTCGTGCCCGCAGTGAAACCTCACAACTGATGAATGGTCACACCCAAGAAGTCTGCGGCATGCAATTTTCGCCCGACGGCTCGCACCTGGCAACGGGGGCCAACGACAATCTCCTCTGTATTTGGGAACCCACCCACGCCCACCGCCCGCGTCACACCTTCCGAGATCACAAGGCTGCCGTCAAAGCCATCGCCTGGTCACCACACAAGCACGGTTTATTGGCCTCCGGGGGTGGCAGTGCCGACCAGTGCATTCGTTTTTGGAATACCCTGACAGATCAGGCCCTGCAGGTCATTGACACCAGCTCCCAGGTCTGCAATCTCGGCTGGTCCATGTACTCCAATGAACTCGTGAGCACGCATGGCTACGCCCGCAACGAAATCGTGTTGTGGTCCTATCCCGACCTGACCCGTCAAGCTGCCCTCACGGGCCATACCAGCCGTGTGCTATACCTCGTACGTATATGCCGCGCTTCTCAGCCTCAACAGCCAGAGGCCCAAAGGCTTGAACGCCACCTTGTTGTTTGTGAGCAGATTCTGTCACTGTGGTGGTTGTCGTTGGGGTTGGGGTTGGGGTTGGGTCAATGTGTCATCGTGGACTGTGTGCAGCTGATTTCATGTGGCTCAACGCCTCACGCCTTCCGTCTTTTACTATTGTGGCAGGCACTTTCCCCGGATGGACAGACCATCGTCACGGGTGCTGGGGATGAGACGCTGCGTTTTTGGCAGATCTTTCCTGGTGCCCGACCCAAAGCGACTGCCACCACGAGCCTGCACCAGTTTGAGCACATCCGATGAAGGGCTCAGACCGCTTCAGCATGTCCTGGCATGAGCCGCATTGCTCCTGTTGTAATGCTCATGGCAGAGCCTATTGCGCCTTTTCCGTCCCTGGCCGAGCCAGCGGAGAAGGAACGCCCTCAATTCCAGTGCCGCGTGCCATGCGTTGCTGTTCCGCAATTCACTCACTCATTCCCAGTGGATCAATTCGTTGTGGTGACGCTCATCGATACGGTAGAAATTGTAATCCTGAACTCCCTTGGTTGAAGGCTTCGTGTTGCTTTCCGCGATCTTGCCCGCCACCGCCGTCAACACCACTGCATCTCCCAAATTCGCTCCTTCATACCTAGCGTGTCTAACAGGAGAGAGCACCATCAAACTTCTTTGCTACTCAAGTCTCACATAACAAAACGCCGAGCCATTTCCCCCTGAGGCTAGAGAAGCTTGTGTCTGAAGTGAGTGAGTGAGTGAGTGCGTGAGTGCATGAGTGCGTGAGTGCGTGCGTGTGTGAGTGCGTGCGTGAGTGAGTGAGTGAGCAGGAGCCAGCAGCCGAGAGTGCCACAAGAGCCACAAGAGCCACAAGAGCCCAAGAAGTTAGGGAGCAATTCAAATCAACATCAACAACAGCAATCAAAACATCAACAAAATCGTGTTTTGCTCAAAAAAAGTTTTTACGTGTGTGTGTGTGTGTGTGTGTGTGACACTGGTTTGATCTTCGGGGACTGCTGCCCGCTCTCAGATCTTGTCAAGGTATCGTCGGGGGCATCGTGGGCTTGAGGGTGTGCTGCTCACAACGAGGCAGGGTTCGGGGAATGAGGTTGGGTGCTGCCGGGTGTGTCTTTGCTCACCATGGTCTTTGTCCGTTTACAGCCGCAGTCATGAGGGTTCGACACGCAAGGTGCGTGCAGGTTCTGGTCCTGGTGTACCTGGCCTACTGCCCTCTTGCCCATGGCCTACCAAGCATAGCTTGGCAATCAGCACCGACACAAGGCACGGAGACGTTTGTGATTGCTGGAGACGATCTCCAGCTAGTTCAGGTCCAAGCATGCTGGAATGGTCACACTGACAATTGCACGGCCCTGCCAGCGGCGGGCTTTCACGTGGTGGAGCAATGGAACGCTTCCATCAAGATTGGCACAGCCACGCCCTGGCAGGGCCCCGCCGCGTTTCGGCTGGTTCTAGCCTCTGACACCAGCCAAGTCGTTGCCGCTGCAGCTGTCAATGAGCCCGATCTTTGGTGGGGCATGGCTTTACCCCCCGTGTCACGTAGCAGCCTCCCTTACAACCCCGCCCTGTCTTCCAACGTCACCGTGGTGGCGTATGAGGGCGGTTCGATTCTTCGTTTGATGGGCCGCGCACTCAGCATGGACGCCGCCTCTGGCACCTGTCGGCCTAGCACTGACCCCACGCCCGACCCAGACCTGACCCTACGACTTGACACCTCTCCCCTGGTGTCCGTTACCGCCCGCCAGGCGACCTGCTATGATGCCGAGTTTTTGTTGCCCGCCAACCTCACAGCCGGACGCTACACCCTGCAATTGGCCTCAAATTGGGGCGTTTCAAGGCAAACTGGCCTTTTGCACATTGTCTCGCGACCCAGCCCTCACACAGTGCAGATCGATGTGGATGCCGCCTTTCAAGGCAACCTGAGTGCTGCCAACCAACATGCTGCCACCCTGACCGCTGATCCCAACGTACGTGCCCAACTTCTCCTAAGCGCGCGTACGTACAACCTCACTTCAACACTGCACGTTGCCAATCGCACTCGTTTGGTCGGTGCCGGCCGCGATGTCACCCTCCTGAGCCTGGCCCTGCCCGTGACAGACTCGGCGCAGGCTTTTCTGCTCGGGCAGGACGATTGGGGCTTGAGTAACCTCAGCATCGCAATCTTGTCCGCACCTGCCGAGTTTCGCGTGGTACAGCACCTAGCTGGAGGCCAGCACTTTAGCATGTTGGATGTCAGCGTGGCCATGTATCAGTACAACGTGAGCAACGCCTTGTGGATCGAGGGCGCCGCCGGTGAGGTGGCACGGTGTCGCTTTGACCAAATCGGCGCCTGCCTTTACCCCAACTACGGCAAAGGCTCTGACAGCACCAACTTTATGGCCAGCAATGTGCTGCACATGCTCAATGCCACCGACATTTGGCTCCACGACAACGAGATCTTTTGGCGGTGCTCCCACTATGACTTTGATTGCAGCAGCCGTGTCATCTACGAGCACAACATGGCCTATGCCACAGAGACCGGCACCGTGCCGCATGGCAACTCCATCAGCCTCTATCAGGCCCGCACGTACCCCACCAGCCAATATTGGCTTTTTGCCCGCAACAACATTTCTCGCCCAGCCTTCAATGATCCGTGGACTCATCACAACTGGTTTCAGCGCGAGACAGTCACATCAGACGGCCCCGGTGGCTGGGGTACAGCCTTCTTTGGTGGTTGGATCGACGAAGATCAACAACGCCAGGTTCGCCTGAGCTGGACCACGCTGGCCGAGGCTCCTATTCCCGGAACCACCCTTCTAGTTTTGGCAGGCCCAGCCGTGGGTCAGACCCGCTTGGTGACGAGCTATGATGCCACAGCCAACGTAACTGTGCTCGACCGCCCGCTGCCCGGTCTGGCCAGCACCAGTCTGTTAGCGGTGGTGGCCAGCGCCAACTACAAGGCCGTCGTTGGCAATGCCTTTCACTGGACCGCCATGGCACAGTACTATGGCAATTCCTTTTTTAGCCTGATGGCCGACAACAGCTTTGCCAATTGCAGCGTCAGTCCCCAGGGCGCCATTCAAGGCGTCGGCGAGTGCTACCACGGGATTGGGCAAAACTTCTTTATTGAATACTACAACAATGAACTGTCTGATAGCGATGGCATCGTGCTGCAGGACCACAGTGGTCCCTCGGGCGAACCCGAGTGTGCGGCCTACGAGGGACCGTGGCAGCGCTGGATCATCGTCCGGCGCAATCAGCTGGCGGGCGTCTCTTGGGCTGCCTTCAGCGCCTCGCCCAGTAATCCTCAATGCGGCAGCATTATGCGCACGGGTGGCTCCGTGCCTTCGCTTGACCTAGTTGTTGAGGCCAATATGGTGCAGTGCGCGTACCCCGGCTCACTCTCCAGCGGCAACATCAGCTTGGGCCAATGTGATCATTGTCTGGCCTCTGATTAGTGCGTTGTTGTTAGACATGATGAGGGAGAAGAACGCTCACAAATTAACAAGAGAGAATTCATTACATCTGTCATCATTGCCAATTGTCTGTTCATAAGTTTTGAGCCTGCGCGAGTACCAAAAGAAAAAAGAAGAGCAACGCCTTGCTTGCTAGTTTGCATTGTCTCATGCCCGGCTCGTGGGCTGAGGCACATCAATCACGATGGCTGGCTGACGAGGACGATAATTGAAGTTGCACGTTGAGGCATTCACGAATAGCGTTTGCCCGTCTGTCGTGACGCCGTACCCTTCTGGAAAGGCGAAGAAGGTAGAAAGCAGAGATACGTGAGCACGCAGCGCGAGGATGCTGGGCTGAGGCAACATCCTACCATGAATATGCCCAAAGACGTGTAGTTTGAGCTGGTGCAGGCGCTGATAAATGGTTTCGAGCAGATGGACGCAGCCAGCCCGCTGACCAGACATGCAGGCATCACCGTGGCCCAACGGCGGACCGTGAGTCACAAGGACGTCCACGTCGTCCGGAATGGCGTCCATCTGTGTTGCAGAAAGCGATTATCAACCTCTTTAAATCAACGGCCAAAACACGTTTGCTGGGACAGCAAGAGCGAGCAGTGAAAGAGAGAAGGGACCTGTTGTGGCTTGACGTCACGCGGATAATTGAAGGCCCAGTCGCAGAATTCGGGCTGATCTGGCGAACCAAATACCTTGATACCTGAGATGGCAGCGGTATTGATCCGTGAGCAGGAGTTTATGTCAGACTTTTTTGTTCGCTTCCTTCAAGGCCTGCAAAACATGTCGCAGGTCCACAAGGTAGAATCCCCGGCGCATGATTCACGAACCCTCGACGGTAACGCTCTCGTTCTCGAGATAAATGGCATTGGTCAGCAAGCTTGTAGGCTCGATGCGTCCCCATGCCGGATCAACGCGAAAGCGCTGGGCCAAGGCTGAGGCAAAGTTGGCTCGATCAAAAATCAAATCGTGATTACCCTACTCATAGTTAGCATGACCCGCGATGAACATGCTGATGCATCACTAGCTGGCTGGCCCCTCGCCAGACAGACTGCATATCGACATTGCGGGGAATGAGAACGAACGGCGATGACGATGCAATGCTTGAACTGTGTTTGCTGTCCGAGCCAGTCGTTGAAGGCCCGGACTGCGTCCGGCTGGCCAACTCGGGAAAAGTCTCCTGCATGAATCAAGACGTCGCCTGCCGGCAGTTCAGGCATCTGCGTAACGCACGGCAGCATTGAGACACGCACGGCAAAAGAGTCGGGGCACAGCGTGCCAGCGGGTTCCGAGACTGATGCAAAACCCCCGACATCTGGGTCGTACCAAAGCGTGGACGTCGTGCGTATCGCTGATGCAAACAAATCTGACGGTGTTTGGAGCCTGTGGGCGTGATTCGGGCAGGTTTACAGGCGCTGCTGGCAAACGCACCTACACTTACACACAGCAATGTTCAGCATGAGAGTCGGGGCCAATGCACTGGAGGCACAGCAGCTTTCCAACAGAGGATTCTCTTGCGTGCCCACTTCTCTGACCTGCAGCTTCTCCCAAGTCGTGGTGGGATCGGTGTGACTTCCACCGGGCAACCCCTCGATGGCCGCTGCCCAGCGTTTTCGTTGTGCCAAGCTGGGCGTCACAACACCAGCCGTTTCCACGGTAGCACCGTTCAACGCCAGCATGTTGTCCAACGAATCCCCGAAATCAAAGCACCAACCCCCGCGTACCAGCAAGCATAGACACGAAGACTATCGCTGCGACGCCAACACTCATCTGCCAGGGAGTGAGGTTTGGGAAATGCGAGTAGCCTCAAGCACATCAAGGATAAAACCACCACACCACCAGTTCCAGAACCAGTGCCAGTACCAGTCCCAAATACCAATCACCAGTACCAGGTACCAGTACCAAGTACCAAGTCCCAAGTACCAAGACCAGTGCCAGTATCAGGTCCCGAGTCCCAAGTATCAGTACCAACGACAGCATCAAGCGCCAGCGAGCTCTCTCATTCGGCGCCAAAATTGGCTGCACGAACTGTCTGACATCAGTTGGCAGATTAAAAAAAAGTAAATTACTTTTCTTTTCTTTGTTTCGGATTTTTGTTGTCAACTGCTGTTGTGTGTGTACGGTCCTTGCACGAAGGAACTCGAGGTGAGTGACACCGTTTGGCAGCGCCTTGTGGGGCATCGGGCCCGGCTACTCCGAGCATATCGGCGCTTGTTATGACGGTGCCACCAGCAAGAGGAGTCAGCGGGATGGAAACAGCCTCACGTCTGTTTTCTGGTGCCATTGATGGTGTAGAACCAAACGCCATGGCGGCAACACGCAGCCTCTTGTACGGCATGCGCCAGCGCGGCCTCGTGGACTTGACCGGCGCCCTGAGACCGGTTGCTCGTAGCCAGTCCCGCTTCTTGGCAGCCAGTGGACTGAGCTCATTCCGAAGCTATGCCACACAGACTGAAGTTCAGGTCCGAGCCCAAGCTGCCCCGGGTTGCTGAGGTGGCTGGCATGTTGAGTGTGCGTCCACCCCTCATATACGACTGGCTGCCTCGCTCCCGAATTGCACCGCTTACACAGGAGGACCAGCTCGAGTCGCGCAAGCAGCTGGATCAGCAGCTGTCCACGGTGGCGAGCTTGCCACCTGTGGACCGTGAACGTCTGCGTGAAATTAGCTTCAATGATTACATTCGCCTGCGTCGGCGCAACACACGCATCGGCTGGTTCATGGCCCTACCCGGCTACCTTGGTGGCTCCACCCTCGCCGCTATCCAATTCTCAACCATGTACCCGGGTCTCACCTTTGACAGCCCACCAGGTCAATTTGAACCCATCATGTGAGTTTGTCTTTTTGGAAGATTTTCTCTCGCCAAGGAGCCTGTCATTTTGCTTCGCCAGCTGGTGCCCTTGCATGACCGCCGCTCCTGCTCACCTCACGCCGGTGATTTGTTTGTTTGTTTTGCGCCTGTGCCTGTGTGTCTGTGTCTGTGTGTGTGTCTGTGTGTGTGTCTGTGTGTGTGTCTGTGTGTGTGTCTGTGCCTCTGTCTGTGCCTGTGTCTGTGCCTCTGTGCCTCTGTGTGTGTGTGTGTGTGTGTGTGTGTGTGTGTGTGTGTGTGTGTGTGTGTGTGTGTGTGTGTGTGTGTGTGTGTGTGTGTGTGTGTGTGTGTGTGTGTGTGTGTGTGTGTGTGTGTGTGTGTGTGTGTGTGTGTGTGTGTGTGTGTGTGTGTGTGTGTGTGTGTGCGTGTGACCATACCCTCAGGGGATACGACCCCCTTATGATAGGCCTGCTCGGCAGCTTTGCCTCGGGCGTTGTGGGTGCCATTTTCGCTAGCCAGTTTTACCACGTGGCCTTGCGCCTCCTGGCTCCCAGTCAGGCGCGCGCCATTGAAGCGGTCAGCACTGCCTCCCTTCCTACTGGTACCTCTGCCTTCTGCTTTATCTGACCGTGCTCCTCACCTCGGCCCGGGCCCGGCCCCACTGACATCCAAAAAACAGCGTGAAACTGACTTCCGGCTGCGGATCATGCTCAATCGTCGAGGTGGTGATGCCTTTGCAGATGACTACTATGGTGATGAGGTGGGCTTTTGGTCCTCCATCCTTCTTTCTACAGCGCCTCCAACATACCGATGCTCAGTTCAAGTGCCCCCATTTCACCTCTTTTGTCCCATTCCCAACAACGCGTGTAGATCAAATCACTCTCGGGTTATCGCAAATGGTTGCGCAAGCAATACAAGCGCGCTGAGGCTGAAAATCTGCCCTTGCCCTCCAAGGGCCTCGCGCCCGCTTCCCAGTAAGGGCTTGCCCAGGCCAATACCTGAAACCTGAAAGAGTTTGGGTTCTTCCTGGGGTAGTTTTTTCTGGTTTGTTTGTGCAGGTTTTTACACAGGAGGGGCTGGTGGCCAGCAGTAAGAAGCCTATCTCCACCCCGAATCCTTGATGAATTAATTACTACCGGTCCAACTGAACAGCAAAGACGTGCTTGCTTGTTCACAACGCCATCGTGTCGGGTGATGGGCCTCAAGGTCACGAAAAGATACCGAGTCCCAGCACCACTGAGGCTACACTCCACTCTCGGACACATTACTCCAAACGAGGCCGCACAGCCTAAGCATCGTCCTGTTGAGCCGACGCCAGTTGCAAAGCCCCATACGTCAAGATGCACTGCAGACCCTCCACCCAAAGACGATAAAGCTGCTCATTGGGAGCGATCAAGTCCAGGACGCGGTCCGTGGTGGCCACAGAAAAGCCGAACCGGTGCTTGCCCTATGGCGAGGCGACATGAGTTGGTTTGCAAACCGATGGGTGACGCAAGCGAAGCAACTTGACGCTGGCATGCCTGACATGGCTCATACCTGAGGCTCGTAATCGCGGCGTGAGGTCACGTTTGAGCTGGGCCCCTCGTATACAGCTGTTACATGGGCGGCCGAAGCTATGACGAGACACGCGCGCGGTGAGGTGGGGCCTCGTGTGCTACAGCCATACGCCTTGGTGCTAAGTGATGATGCGGAGAGAGGGCACGTACTGGCATCGGGGTTGCGCACAAAGGAACTGGGAGACTTGGTCCAGCAAATCTCGCCCGTGTACATATCCACCCAGAAGAATCGGGTGTGCGTTGCCCCCTGTTTCAATCGGGTCGAGGACAACATGAAAATTAAGATTCAGACTCAAGATCAGAATGCCGCTTGGCCGCACAACATACGACACACGATTCGGCGGACGCCCACCAACCTTGCCGTCGTTTGTAAACTTTTCGAGGTGTGACCCTACAGTGAGAAGATGGAAGAGCTGCATGATGGCAGACACTTGATCGCCTTGCGAGTTGAGCCAGTCGGCACTCGAGACGCCTGTTCAAGGAGGGAGGAAGGTAGATTAGCGCTTGGCGGCGAAACTGCGACAAACGGAGTGGGGTGCGCACCATTGGTAACGCCGGTTTGCTGTTCAGAAATGGAAAGGCGACCGTGTGGCCCATAGCTGGCCAGCAAAGCCACGCAAGCGCCGTGTTGGCGCTGGCGCGCGTAATCAATTGGGGTCAGACCCTGCCAAGCCGGTAATCAAAAATGGTCAGTATTTGCCGATTGGCCGGGAAAAAAGGGGGGGGCGGTGGGGTGTTTCAAGTGGCTTGTCCAAACAAGAGTCGATGCCAAGTGTGCTCTCTAGTCTGGGGCAAGGCTGTGCGGCGGCGAGTTGGACACGCAAGACGTACATCCTCATCCAGGGCATTGACGGAGGCCCCGTGCTTGAGCAGAACCCGCAGAACGCGAGAACCACCACACACGGCAGCGTAGTGAAGGGCAGTCCGGGAGCGGTGGTCGACCTCGGTCACCAGAGTCGGGTCGTGCCGAAGCAGCAGCTTGGCTGCGGCCTTGGCATCAAGTTCGGCCGCATAGTGCAACGCTGTCCGGCCAATGCGGTCACGCAGGCGAAGACGGCTGCTTTGTTGCGCCAGAGCAGCGAGACACTGGACGGCATTTGGCTGCACGGCCCAATGCATGCAGGTTTTGCCATCCACGTCGGCAGCCCCAAGATCGGCGCCCGCTCGCTTGAGCTTGCCCAAATGGTGCACCCTACACAAGTGAGGGTGGACATGGTGGTTGCCAGTGAGGCGTGACTTCTACTCGTGCCCAAACTCAAACTCCGAGCCCCTCCGCACTGTTTTCTGCCTTGCAACGATGGGGTCATAGAGCCTACACAAAGATGTCCAGCCCGCTGAAGGTAACAACATACTGACCGATCATAGTAGCAGGCCCAGATGGCGGCGGTCATGCCGGCGTGGTCGGGCTGGTTGATGGCGTTATCGCCCCGGACTCTTTTCAAAAGTTGGGCCATGCAGCCAAGGCGAGGGTTGTGGGCGGCCCAGTGCAAGGCGATGCGGCCATCATCATCACCAACGCGATGATCTGCGCCAGATTCGATGAGCAGTTTAACCATCTCAGTCGTGCCGCTGAAGGCGGCCCGATGCAGGGCCGTTGAACCATCTAAATAATAAGCAGCAAGCGCAAAAGGTACCATGCCAGCGTGGGGCGATGGCCCAGGTGGATGAGGGAAAGGAACCATTGTGCAGCCGTGTCGGGTGTGGGCTGCGTAGAGGCGAGAGGATAGTGCAGCCGAGAACAAAGACCAGTGTGGCGGTGTCAGCTTGGCTAACCGTTTGCTTTGATGTCGAGAAGAGCGCCCATTTGCACTAGGAGCTCAGCCACCGAGAGTTGGTTGCAGTGCACGGCATACATGAGCGGTGTTCGGCCACTTGGATCGGGTCCGTTGATATCGTGACCCTATTGAGCATTGCTGAATGAGCCAGGAAGCAATTGGGAGTGAAGAGTGGCAAGGCCGACATGGCATGGTACCTGGTCCACCAGACGCTTGATGAGGGCGATGTTGCCGTGGGCGGCTGCTGCGAGCAAGGGTGCCGTAGCCTCTGTGACAAGCGTCTCGGGACTAAACTGATCGGCCGAAGCATGGTTGAGATCTGCTTCATTTCCCAGCACTACCAGGGTGTGGAAGGGAGACGCGAGGTTCGAGGTGAGAGGCGACGAGTTCATTTTGGGCCGCCGGGTGCGAACATTGTTTCGATGATCAAGCTTGTCGGCGAAAGATGTGGCAACGTACTGATTTCCTCGTGTGTTTCATCGTCGAGATTGACCACGTGAAGCTTGCTCAGGACGCTGCCCTGCTGGCGAGCGAGCGGGGTATCTTGGGCCGCGGAGTCGTCAAGCTGATGATCGTCTCGTGCATCTAGTCACAGTTGGACGGTTTGAAGAAAGCATTGTTGGTGGCGATGGAGAATATGAGGCAAAAAGGAAAAGGACAAGATAGACGAGGCGGAGGCGCATTGGTAGGCGACCACGTGACTGACCTTCGAGAACGCGGGCCAGGGCGCGAACAACGTTGACATGGTCATGGCCACGAAAGGGGGTTGGGGCAGGCAAGATGTCTGGTCCTCCCGAGGCATGTGCCGGGGTGCTGACGTCGGCATATTCACCATGGTTGCCCTCTTGGGCGGCGCCGGGGGAAGGGGCCACGGTGACGACACGGGAGATGCGGGGTGTGAGGTTGTCGAGGGCGGAGATGGTCGTGCCGGTGGAGGTACGATCGCCGGGCTCGCCGTGATATTCCGTGTCACCGTGCCAGGCCACAATGGGTGGGGCAGGGCGGGACCGATCCTGGCCCGTGATGAGAGGTTTGCGCTCGGTGGGTGGGGCAGGGCGGTTTGCCATTTGGGCGGCGGCGTCATCGTCTTCCTCGACCTCGGCGGGCGAGAAGGGCGTGACGAGGTTGTCTGAAGCCTTTGTGGTACGGGTGTGTCGGGGTGAAGGCTCGGCTGAGTCATCCTGCTGCCCTGAGCGAGCCTTTTCCACCTGTTCAAGAATCAAGAGAGCGAGTCGGGGTTTGAGGCGGGGGCCCGCGCGTGAGGGAAACGGATGTGGCTGGATGCAAGGGTTGCGGGGAGTAATGCGGAGACGTACGGCAGAACGAGCACGGGAAAGGAGTTCGTCAAATCGTTGCGCACGGGCCAGACGGCGCACTTCATCCGATCGGCTCGAGCTATCGGTGCTGTGCGGAACCTGGGCTCGAGCATCGGGCGTGCCGGGGAGCACCGTGTCGGGGTTTTGGCTCGCAGCGGTGGCCGCCCCTTCCTCATTCATGTAGGGAAGAAGAGGTCCATGCCGGGTGTGACCCAAGCCTTGTCGCACGGGTGCCCCATACATGCTGAATGCGCAGTTGACTGATCCAGTGAATCCGGTGGTGTGCTTGCACAGAGATGCCCTGAGATCGCAAGATGCCCGCGCGTGTAGATTGTGAGAGACAAGCCTCAAGTTGTTTCTTTGTGTGTATATGTGTATATTTATGTGTCTTGTATACGTGTGTGTGTGTGTGTGTGTGTGTGGCCCGATCGCACCGGCATCGGGAAACAGGAGCGCGGACGTGCCGGGACAAGGGCGTCCGCGGCAAAGAGCAGGGTGAGGGGCGGTACCTGCACACAGACAGAGAGAGAGAGAGAGAGAGGAAATTGGAAAAAAAATTTTTGAGCGAAATTTTCAGAGTGAGAGAGAGTGTGTGAGTGTGTTATGGGGTTTGTGTTGCGATTTAGTGGTA